GGAGTTTGATAGTGCTGCTTGTTCCCTTCCTTTGATGAAAATATCACTTATTTATATCTCGCATTTGTTTAAAAGAAATATTAGTACAGGCTGTTGTAAACTTCAGTTGTGTGTGGAATTTGGTTTAGTTTTTGGCTGTAGATTTTTGTATTTTTTGGTTTTTTTTTATGAATTAGCATTTATAGTGTGTCTCAGACTGGAGAGTTGAAAAAGCCAGTTGTTCTGTGCTTTGAAAATAGCTGAGTTAATGTTCTTCATTTAATTGCAATTCTTTGATAGCCATTGGTGGAGGTAGTAGCAGTGGAGCCAGTGGTGGGGGCCTAGCCAGCAGTATAGGAGGACTCATGGGTGCACCCACAGACAGTGAGAGTGAGGAAAGTGAGATGGGACGGCTAGAGGCTCTTCTAGCATCACGAGGACTCTCTCCCAGCCTCTTTGGAGCTTTGGGTCCTAGGATGCAACACATTCTCCACCGTTCAGTCTCATCTTCCATAAGTAAGTTTGGTTTCTGTTGGTTTGTAATGGAAATTTACATAGAATCTTTTTGTAAAGAAAGAACTAACTACAGATATCTATTACTTCAAATTTTGAGAGTAAATGTTTCCTTGCTTCTCTTTCTCAAAAGGCTCCAAAGCACAGCAGTTGCTTGTTGGTCTTCAGGCAACTGGGGATGAAAGTGAACAGCTTCAAGCAGTGATAGAAATGTGTCAGTTGTTAGTAATGGGCAATGAGGATACATTGGCTGGATTCCCAATTAAACAGGTGACACCAGCACTCATCAATTTGCTCAATATGGATCACAACTTTGACATGGTAAGTAGAAAAAGTGGTGAAACTTATTGTTTTGCTGTATTCATTGATGTGATATTATAGATGTTTCATGACTAATATGTTTTGTAGATCACACAACCTTTCACTGAATTGGGGTTTTTGGAAGGGTAGAATATTTAGAAGGGATTTACAGGTACAGACACTGAAGTATTATTATTAAGATAGCACTACTAATGTGGATTTTCTGATGTTTCCTTTTATTTCTAGATGAATCATGCTTGTAGAGCATTGACTTACATGATGGAAGCTCTGCCTAGATCATCTGCTGTTGTTGTGGATGCTGTTCCTGTGTTCCTGGAGAAGCTGCAAGTCATACAGTGTATGGATGTTGCAGAGCAATCATTAACTGCCCTTGACATGCTGTCTCGCAAACATTCTAAAGCAATATTGCAGGCAGTAAGTAGTTATATCTTAAATTGAATCATTTACTTGTATTCCTTGCTTACTAATGATTTTAGAATAAAAGAAGAGTTCTATATCTAATATCATCATTTATTTTTTTCTTCTTACCAGCATGGGGTATCAGCATGCCTCATGTACATAGACTTCTTCTCAACGGGTGCCCAGCGTGCAGCACTAAGCATCACAGCAAATTGTTGCCAGAATCTAACAGCTGATGAATTCCATTTTATAGCTGATTCTCTCCAGCTACTCTCTTCCAGACTCACATCACAGGTGAGGTTTTGTGATGTTTAAGTGGCTTTGTGGTAATATGCTTGAATTTTATTATTGTTTGTTAATATAAAATTTTATTTGTTGACTGTTGCCTATGATTGATATAATGTATGCTCTACCTTTGCAGGGTGACAAAAAGTGTGTGGAGAGTGTCTGTTTGGCTTACAGTCGACTGGTAGATTGCTTCCAGAATGACCCAAATAGATTACAGGAAATTGCTGGTCATGGCCTTCTTTCCAACATTCAGCAATTAGTAAGGGATTTAGAATTTATTTTCACTTTCATTAAAGATTTTTTCTTTGTCAGTTAATATTTTTTTTATTTATTTATTTTTTTCTAATGTCATTTACAGATTTTTAATGTGAATTTGATTGATTGATAGTGTATGTTTTGATATAGGCAACACTTCTTGGAAGTAAAGATTTGAAACTTACTAGTGATTTTTGTTACAGCTGGTGATGTCGCCACCAGTATTAAGCAGTGGAACATTCATCATGGTGATGCGCATGCTGTCTCTTATGTGCAATAACTGTCCTGAACTTGCGGTGCAACTCTTAAAGAACAACATAGCACACACATTATGCTACCTTTTAACAAACTCGACTGAACCTCCTGGAGAGCAAGTAAGAATGATTGGAGTACTGTTTAATTCCTATTGTTTAATGGACCACTTCATGAAATATGTATATGAAGTACATATCAAAAAATTTAATATCATTTCACACGGCAATAAAGGCAGAAAAACAGGCCACTAGGAAGTTGACTTGGCTGACTGTATATGCTCAGCTGAAGTGACTTGGGACGTAACAGCTAAAGCTGTATGTGTATTTTCAGGTTGAGTTGGTGTCCAGAAGCCCACAGGAGCTGTATGAGATTACTTGTTTGATTGGAGAGCTGATGCCAATGCTTCCCTCCGATGGTATCTTTGCAATTGATGGAGCTTTACAACGTCCATCAGGATGCGCTCAAGACACAGTAATGTGGCAGTGGCAGGATGACAGGGCAACATGGCAGAACTATTCCACTAGTGATTCTAGGATCATTGAGGTAGAGTATGGTATAATGAGTACTTAGTCACTACAAAGAGTGGCCTTACCTTTCTCACCACCACAAGTATATCACTAGAACTAAAGTATACTTTACATAAGGCAATGAAGAGTTCTGAATGCAGGAAATATCTCTTATGTAAAATAGTCGTTAAAAAGAAATACTTATCAATGAGGAACCATGGATTAATGAAAGCTGAAAGAAAATCATTATAAGATTAGCAATTTTTTTTATTTTTAATCAGCTTGCACACCAGTCTGGAGAGGATGAGATCAGTCTTTGCATACAGAGCCGAGCTTACACAATAGACTTTCATTCAATGCAGCAGATAAATGACAACTCTGGCACGATGAGATCTGTTCAGCGGCGCATGATGCCAGTTGGGTTAGCTGGGACTGTCATAGCAGCAACTCAGGTTAGTATTATTTTTATTATTGCTTTAAGAATTATGGTAAAAAAATTATAATATATAAGAAAGTAAGGAGGCTGGAATTAAATATTTTACTTTTAAATTCTATTTCTTTTTACAGGCCACGGATGCAAGAGCAAAGTGCCTGCAGGAAGATTCGGATTTAGCATCCAATCTCATTCGTTCATTGTTTAGTTTATTGTATGAAGTCTACAGTTCCTCAGCAGGTCCAGCAGTGCGCTACAAATGTCTGCGGGCATTGCTTAGGATGGTGCAATTTTCAAGCCCTGAGCTTTTGCAACAAGTTTTAAAAAGTCAGGTAAGATTTCTTACTTTTTGAGTGGAAACTTAAGCTTTAGAGTTTTAGAGATAGTGATATTTTTCTTGGTAATTTCTATTTGAATTTTATGGAAAACTCATTTTTTAGGGATGGCATATGTGAAAGACTTGATGAAGATTCATTATGCAGAACTCGAATAGAAGAATTTTTGTGATAAAGCTAATTTTTAATATCAGAATTATATTACATATGGTGCTATTCTTCTAAAAACATAACAGTTGCTTTTGCATAAAGAATAGCTGTATTTTTCACATTAAAGTACATTTTTAACCTAATTTTTTGGGTTGTCATCTTTCAGAGTGTATCCTCCCACCTAGCCACTATGTTGTCATCGCACGACCTGAAGATTATTGTAGGAGCTATTCAGATGGCTGAGATCCTTATGCAGAAGTTACCTGAAATTTTTGCAATTTACTTTAGAAGAGAAGGTGTAATGCACCAGATTAAGCGACTCTGTGACCCAGATGCGACTTTAGGTCCTCCTCCTGCAAAATGGAGCAGTCCTGAACTCTCCTTAGGGCCTGGCCGTGGAGGAACACCCAGCTCAGCTAGTCCACTTCTAACTGGACGACCATTCAATGGTAATTGTTTAGACTCGACCCCATCTCTTCCAACCCCACCAAGTCAGGATGAAGATAAATTGCAGAGCCCATCCCAGCTGCGTCTAGCTGATGTGCTCAAGCGGAAACGAGCAACTCGTATTCGAACTGGAAACTGGAGAAAGAGCAGACAAGAGGAATCGCCTGCATCGTCATCATTTAGTGAATTCTTCATGAAAAGTGAGTTGACTTTTCTATATACACTTTTCAGTGATTTCATATGATATTTGTAGTGGTTGTATGAATGTAGTGATGGACAGCTTAGATTTAACCCCTTGGATCCAGTTGTCACGGCAATCACAAGACTTAAAATCCGAGTAATAGGCTTATGTGAGCGGCTGCTCTGCCGGCTGGCAGCTTGTAGGCCAGGCACCTGCAAACACGTGTGTGTGTTGACAAGACTATACCTCCTATTAGCAAAGTTATTTCCTCTTTTTATACATACACAGTTTTAGCTTTTTTGCCATATTCCAATGTCCATATGTCCATTCTGTCACCCAGTCCTTTAGCTGAAATGCTCACAATAGCAAATACTTGTCACCTGGCCTACAGCCAGATTTTCCCGTGTCTGCATGCTTGCGTCAACCACCCCACAAACCAGATTTTTTCATAATGATGGTCATGTCACCCGGATCGAAGGGGTTAATACTAGTGAAAACTACATGCAGAAGGAAACGTAGCTTCAGTTAGTTAAATTGGTTTTGTCTAATTCACATTCCTCTGGATTCTAGATGCTGGCTTAGGTGGAGGACGAGAAAGCTGGAGAGGCATGGGGAGTCGGACCAAACTAGTGGCAGGCACCAACAGTGGCAGTAGTAGTAGTGGTGGTGGGGGAAGCAGTAAATCCTCTTTCCTTGCCAATTTCAATCCATCACGTTGGGGAAGGTGCAGTTCTGCCACATCAACACCAACCCATGAATCTCCTTCAGGAAAGGTAGCCCATTTGCAGCTTTTTTAGGGAAAAGTGTGTTTACATTTATAGTCTATGTGGAAAGATGCAAGAATACAATAATGCATTTTATTTAGCAACTTGTACACCCTCCACTCTATACCCAGTCCTTGTCATGAAGGGTTACAAGTCTCTGTTTAGTATTATAGTATTCAAGTGATGGTTTACAAGTCATTACCCTTGATGTTAAGAAAGTAGATATGAGGGCATATGCATCAAAAGGTGTTCTCAGACCATTATACACATGTAGTCTGAGAACACCTCTGGCCACACATGCCCTCATTTGAGAATGCTGATCTAAGTACTTGAATCAATAATTGCATGAGTCATTCTTAACTGAGTGCAGGCAATTTATAAATGATATAATAAAGGTAGATAAAAAAGAAGGGGGGGGGGGCACATGTTGGAAGTTTGTCATTATCCAAATACTGCAAATTGATACAAAAAAAAATCCTGATAATTAGATTTTATGAATTGTATTTTTAATGTTTGTCTTTTTATGTTTTTGTTTGTATATCCTACATGCGTATTTCTGCTCCATAGGACAAACTAGTTGGTAATAGTGTGAGCAACAGTAGCAGTAGCAGTAACAAGGAAGTGGTTCGTGTCTGGGTGAGGGAACAAGCGCAGCGTCTCAACCAAGAGTACTTCTCCACAGAGCTTCAGGGAGCCACACACCCTGCACTTAGTGTCCTAAATAGACTTATAGCAGCCATACAGCAATTGGAGCAAGATGTATGTAAAGAGAGCACATATTGTTTATCATCATCATTATTACATGAATATATTATTTCTCCTTTTTAATTTGTATTGATTTTATTGTTTTTTATGTAGATTCTTGGAGGAGTAAGTGTAAAGGTTAAGAATTCAGTTTTATTTTATATGTGCATAAATTTGTTCTGTCTATTCTCTCTGTGAGGCCAGTTGAAATTAATATGTAGTAGTGAGAAATTCAGCATTATTTAATTTTGTCTTACACATAAATTTGTATATCTTCCAGCCAAACTGTGCTGTTATAGCACTGAGGGAAATCAGCAGAATTGTGACTGATAGTGATATCAGTCCCTTTGAGGTGATACATTCTGGGCTGGTGTGCTGCCTCTTGTCCTACCTCACAGCATCTGAAAATTCTACTATGTCCCTAACACAAGATGGAAGTTTAATGGCAGCCATTGGAGGCACAGGCAACAGCACAGAGAATGGGAGCCTTACGTCTGTCAGCATAAGCACACCGCGGGACACCCGACTCAGGAATTTCCTTCACGTCTTCCTTGGTTGCCCAGTAGGTATCACAGTGGGGGTTTAGTAGATAATAGTTATTTTGTAATGGTTCTCCTCCTGCTCTGTGCCCTCTGATTTTTTTTGTAGGATAAAGTTGTACTTACAGGTTTGGTGATGATATGACATTTGATGGTTTGGTGATAATCATGTTAAATAACTATTTCTGTTCAGAAATGTTGTATTCCTCTGGTTATCAACAACCTCCCAAATGCATTTTTGCTTTGATAATCCAAATATATGAAACATAAACAACATATGTACCAGATGAACATTCTGTAAAGAACTGGGCATCACATCCAAGCTAGCTAGTATCAATTTTTGTATCACAAACCTTTTAAGATATTTAATGAATAGGGTCAATGATGGCATCAGAAATCTCTAAGTTACTGATTCCGGTGACTTCTGGCAACCATCCTGCCGTTTGGCCTGGGAGTCTGCTACATGTAGCGGAACTTCCTGTTCGACTCGGTCTTGTGCATCGTGACACCTATAGCCGCACCCATCATGATGAGTTAGTTTGTTATGATGGCTATAGGTGTGGCCTGGCAGTAAGAGGTTTAAGTTAATTAATATTAGGATGTTGAGAGAGGGTTCCAAAATCTATTGATATTAAAATTGATTGATGGTCAAGAATTTGACTTTGTATGAACATCCTTACTACAAAATATTTTAATTTCAGTTGGACCCATTAAGCCTGGGCAATGTGGACACCAGTCATATTGCATTGTTCAGTGCCCTCGTGACAAAGCTCAATGGGTGTGTCAACCAGTTGGAACAGTTCCCTGTGAAGGTCCATGATCTCCCAGGAACTGCTCTTTCAGGGGTTGGGAGAGGAGGCTCAACCTCTGCCATCAAATTTTTCAACACGCATCAACTGAAGGTACCAAATTAAAAGAAGTAGATGTATATCATCTTTGTCCTTTTCACGTCCTCCACTTTTTCCTCTTTACTTCCATTATCGCTCTCATCAATCACTTATCATTATTGTCATCACGCACTTCCTTCTCATCCACATCTACTCCCTCTTTCTTTTTCTCCTCATCCTCATTTACCATTACCTACTCTTTACCTTCTAGCTTCTACATCGGTTATTGAATCTGTATCTGTTGACAAAGCAAAAATCAACAGAGAACATCTACTAAATACTACTTCACTTTGACAGTGTAACCTTCAGCGCCATCCAGACTGCACGAGACTGAAGCAGTGGCGAGGTGGGCCAGTAAAGGTTGACCCTCTGGCTCTTGTACAGGCTATTGAACGTTATTTAGTTATCAGAGGTTATGGTCGACTCAGGGATGAAGACGATGACAACTCCGATGATGACAATTCTGATGAGGACATAGATGATACACTGGTATGTATTGGTTATAATTGTTATAGTACATTATAATTTATTTGTTTAGATTTACTAATTCGGTTTGTTGATCATTCTATATTTAAAAGTTTTGAACACCCAAATGGTAAAGTATGACACAATTCTTTGCATATTCTGCCTAGTTTTTTGTAGTGTTAGGGAACCATGTTTATGGCTTTTAGTAATGTGGCCATTGCAGCAAATTAATGGATTTACAGTTTGTCTTACATGGAAACTGAACAAAGATGTTACACTGAATGCCCTAATATATATATATATTGTGTGATAAATTATGAAGGTGATTTATCAATCATGAATAGAGTATATTATTAAATTTCCAATATTGCTTTGCCATACATAGGAAAGCATGTTTACACTTGTAATAGGGAGCAAGTTAGCTTAGGAACATGATTAACTTTATAAATCTGTTGCAACATTTTTAATGGATTTTAATGTTGTGGATTCTTTTAGTCAAATTTGCCATTTGGATTTTGAACTTTCCTCAGTATATGCTCTCAGATGACAAGCCCCTGGCAACAACCCCTTGGCTGCAGCCGGTTGTTGAACTTGGAATCCATACATTTCAGGCGAGAAGCCTATTCATTACTTGAGTTTTTAAGTTAGTTTGTTCAAGTCATATATCTCAAAGAAAGATTTCATTAAGAAATGCAGTAATTATAGGAAAACTTGTACTTTTACATTCACAGTTTGTGTAAAACTTTTCTTAGTTTTATAAGCAAGAGCAGGATTAGATTTTCAGAGATATTGCTAATGGAAGTGCAAGTTAGGAAATTTTATTTTACAGAAAATAAAACAAAAATAACAAGTGATTATTCACACAGGCTGCAGTATCTGTCAACCAGAGCTCTTCAAGTCATAAACTCCAGTTTGTCATTGGTGATCACGTCTTGCCGTACAATATGACCGTTTACCAAGCCATTAGACAGTTCTCCTCACCATCTGATGCCAGTGCCTCTGAAGCAGACACTGATACAGAAACCCCCATCTCACATTCAGCCATATGGCTTCAAACCCATACAATTTATTATAGGTAAGTTACTTCTTTCTTTTCATATCTTTTTATCATTATAGTGTGCCATATCCTTGATAACAGATTTTCTGTAAATTGTTCATAAACTGTTTTTATTACCATCAGACCTGTACAAGAGGAGGAGCAAAGTCGAAGTTCAGGAGGAAGGAAGGGCAAGGCGGGAGGTTCAAAGCCCAGCCCAAAGAAAAAAGCAGATGCCCATGTTGGAGGTTAATATGGCTTAATATGTTTGTTATCATTTTAATGGCTTATCTACCTACATATTCATAGACAGATATTGTGTTCCAAAGATTATGTGTCTTCATGAAAGCTTCTTGTCTCTAATCCACTCATCATTCCAAGTCTCTCACATTAACCCATTGGGTCCAGTTGCATCATGGCAGTCAAATTGCCGTCTAAGGCTTATGTGAGCAGCCACTCTGCCATGGGGCTTTTTGTAGGACAGGTACTCCCAAATACATGTGTGCAGTGACAAGACTCTATGCCTCCTATTTGCAAAGTTATTTACTCTTTTTGCACAAAATTGTTTTTAGCTTTTTGGCCATTTCCCAATGTCCAAATTTGCCATTTGATTTGCATTATCCAGACTCCCCCCCTCCCTGCACAAACTCCATATCATCTCTCTAGGTAGTCTACAACTCAGTGCAAGAAAAATAAAACTATGTAACACTTTGTTATTTGTGTCATTTATTTTTATTTTTACATAATTTAAATTTTATGCAATACAACCTGCATCGCTGCTGATGTCACCAGCGATAAGATGCTGAGCATGGTAATGGTGTCCTCTGTGGGGCTGGCACTCTTACAGTCACTGCTCACTTATGTTCCATATTTGTACATTGATGGCCATAATGCAAAATCTCCAAATGAGTAAAATAAACCTCCCAAAAGGTTTGTGCATTCATGGCGAGTCTTTTCTGTCACCCCAGCCTTCAGCCAAAATACTCACGTCAGCAGGTTCATGTCACCTGGCTTACGTCTGGGTTTTCCTGTTCATGTCACCCACCCCTCGAGCCAGCCTTTTTCATGACATGATGGTCACGTCACCTGGATCCAAAGGGTTAAGCTGTGAGAAATATTAACAAAAAATATTTCATTCTTAGCATATTTATTTATACATTCCACACTTTTCAGATGGTAGTATTGTGGGAGGAAACAATAGTGTTCTGGACCAGTACCTGACTGCTAGCCTACCAGCCAGTGTGACTGTAAGTGACCCGAGCTTAGAAGTGCTGGCATTGTTGCGAGTTCTCCACGCTCTCAACCGCCATTATGGTGCCCTCTACCCCCCAGCCACTTACCCGTCCCCACTACCAACTGCTGAGTTCACAAACCTGAAACTGACAGCCAAAGCAAATCGGCAGTTGCAGGACCCTCTGGTGATAATGACTGGCAATGTACCACCGTGGTTGCCTCAGATTGCTTATGCATGGCAAGTATTCCTTTTAAATTTGTCAGATAATTACTCATTTCTCATGAGTTAGAAACTGATTTCTGATTTTTGTTGAAGGTATGCTTCATGTTTATTTTTGTTTACATTCCTCATCTCTCTCCCTCCCCATTATGGGAGCTAAATTATAAACTATAATAACATGAGTAATCAAAATATTACAAAGTGCCTTAGTTTAAAAGTAGGGACTCAAAGTTTTGGGTTCTGAAATATTGGATTTCATTTCAGTTTTTGTTTTAATGCTAAAGATTCATTCATAATTTGTTTCTAAAAATTCTCTCTTCTTTGCTTTTACAGTCCTTTCCTGTTTCCATTTGAGACTCGACAATTACTGTTTTATGCAGTGTCCTTTGATCGGGACCGAGCTTTACAACGACTTATGGACTCTTCTCCTGAGCTCAACTCTGTGGATAGTAGTGAAAGAGTAACCCCAAGACTTGAAAGACGTAAGAGAACTGTCTCTCGTGATGATATTCTCAAGCAGGCAGAGGCTGTGATTAGTGAACTGGCTTCTTCAAGGGCCATGCTAGAAATTCAGTATGAAAATGAAGTTGGTACAGGCCTAGGACCTACTTTAGAATTTTACGCTCTTGTATCCAAAGAACTCCAGAAAGCTGATCTAGAGCTTTGGCGGGGTGAAACAGTGACAGTGGAAGAAAGAACTGAAGAAAATAGAGGAAAGGCAGTGAAATACGTGAATGCCAGTCAAGGCTTGTACCCAATGCCTGTACCCAGAAACATGAAATCTGCCCAAATGACTAAGTTAAGAGCAAAGTTCAGATTCCTTGGAAAGTTCATGGCTAAAGCTGTTATGGATTCCAGAATGGTAAGTAGGAATGTCTTTGTTATATGTTTACCCATATCTGCCAGGCCTATAGCCGTCATAACAAACTGACTAATCAAATCATGTGTGGTTGTAGGCGTCATGCTAGAGGCAGGATGGTTGCCTGAAGGCACTGGAGTCGGTTATGCCGAGAGATTTCTGATACCGTAATTGATACTTAAAGTGGTTCTACTTAAAAGTAATGAATGAAGCCTGAGGATTTTTTGAGTACCTAGTGTCTAGCCTATTGATAAGACTATATATAATACTAGTTTGACTATTGTATTTAATTAATATAAATATTTCATGAACATTTTTTGGTGTGTGTGTGTCTGTGTCTGTGTGTTTGTTTGTTTGTTTTTCATGCATTGCACTGTTGTGTGTTGGTGTATGCATTTGCATTGATTCCACAATTATCATAAAGTTAAAATTACACAAGGCTGAATTTTTAGGGCACACAAAGGAATGACTGCTTATCAGTAGCTGTAGATAGGGTGGGACATCATATACATGTCATTGTTTTCTATGACACCATCTATTTTGTAGATGGCAGAAGGGGAGACTGCATCAGATTTAGTGTAATAAAATGAGGCTGCCAGTTGCATTGCAGGCTAGTAGTTGGTTGCAGTAGCCAAATGTGAACACATTAAAATGAAGCTTTCTAACACAGCTTGTCTTGAATAATTTTTGCTGATCAGGGGATTAAAGTTGTGAATATTGTATCCTAACTCAGAAGAGTAACCAGATATATATTTGTAAGTGTCAGGAGTATTGCAGGTGGGAGAACCGTACTTCTTGGAAAGTAAAGCTACTGTACATGCATATTAGTCAGTAGATGCCAAAGTATTACTGATAGCATTTGTATCAAGTTGATTCAGCTTGAATTATATGGTTGTATATTCAGTCCTTTTTTTTTTATTCAGTAAAATAAGTCATGTTAACAATACCTTTATAGACATATGGAGTGGACTCGTTTATATATACCTTACCTAATTTATTTTTAATTGTTCAACATCTTGTTTTATTGTGAATCAAGGGTGCAGGGTGCAGGTTAAACATATTTGACTTGGGCTGAGTTTTGATGAGCCACAGATCTGAAGGCAATACATCTTTTACCTGTAACTTACAGGTCACATGTACAAGTGTCATAACATATGTTTGGTCTGCGGGTTATGGCTATGCGCCTGGGCGAGTGGAGCGGGAAGTTTCTGCTAAAGCTGTTATGGATTCCAGAATGGTAAGTAGGAATGTCTTTGTTATATGTTTACCCATATCTGCCAGGCCTATAGCCGTCATAACAAACTGACTAATCAAATCATGTGTGGTTGTAGGCGTCATGCTAGAGGCAGGATGGTTGCCAGAAGGCACTGGAGTCGGTTATGCCGAGAGATTTCTGATACCGTAATTGATACTTAAAGTGGTTCTACTTAAAAGTAATGAATGAAGCCTGAGGATTTTTTGAGTACCTAGTGTCTAGCCTATTGATAAGACTATATATAATACTAGTTTGACTATTGTATTTAATTAATATAAATATTTCATGAACATTTTTTGGTGTGTGTGTGTCTGTGTCTGTGTGTTTGTTTGTTTGTTTTTCATGTATTGCATTGTTGTGTGTTGGTGTATGCATTTGCATTGATTCCACAATTATCATAAAGTTAAAATTACACAAGGCTGAATTTTTAGGGCACACAAAGGAATGACTGCTTATCAGTAGCTGTAGATAGGGTGGGACATCATATACATGTCATTGTTTTCTATGACACCATCTATTTTGTAGATGGCAGAAGGGGAGACTGCATCAGATTTAGTGTAATAAAATGAGGCTGCCAGTTGCATTGCAGGCTAGTAGTTGGTTGCAGTAGCCAAATGAGAACACATTAAAATGAAGCTTTCTAACACAGCTTGTCTTGAATAATTTTTGCTGATCAGGGGATTAAAGTTGTGAATACTGTATCCTAACTCAGAAGAGTAACCAGATATATATTTGTAAGTGTCAGGAGTATTGCAGGTGGGAGAACCGTACTTCTTGGAAAGTAAAGCTACTGTACATGCATATTAGTCAGTAGATGCCAAAGTATTACTGATAGCATTTGTATCAAGTTGATTCAGCCTGAATTATATGGTTGTATATTCAGTCTTTTTTTCCAGTAAAATAAGTCATGTTAACAATACCTTTATAGACATATGGAGTGGACTCGTTTATATATACCTTACCTAATTTATTTTTAATTGTTCAACATCTTGTTTTATTGTGAATCAAACATGCAGGCATTTAGAATGTTTATATCCTCTTCTCTTAGCCATTTAAGCTTGGTGATCTCTCCAGGCCCCAATTCCACAGTCAGCCTGATCTGTGTGAGCTAAACAGGTGTTCACTTTTTGTCCCTAACTGCAGTAATTTAGGAGTTACAGTCCCACAAAAATATCCTTAACCCAATTGTGAGGGGTGAAGAAAACAAAAAAAAAACTCCACGCTCTGGCGTTCAATGGCAACACGCCAACTTTAACCCATTGCCGCCGGGGATGTCATGTACGTACATGCCATGCCTACTGTGAGTCGACTTGTTTGATTGTTTATACACATAGATGGCTACACTTGTACTAAGTATCCAATGAGCCAATTACAGTACTGCCTGTCTCGCCTATTCACCCTTTTCATTGATTTACAACATCGTTATCCTAATTTGCTGTTAAGAATAACACCATCTATATTTAAAGCACTAGTAAGAATACGCTTTTTCCCGCCTATTCAAGGAAAGGTGAAATCAGGACTAGTAGACCCATCTATGGACAGAGATATTTCACAAAAATATAAAAAATGAGTACTGTATTTCCCCCATTTTTTGTTCATTTTCCCCAGCGGCAATGGGTTAAGTGCAGGAGTTCAGTACATCAGGCCGAATCACCGGCTCGCTGCGCTCTGGCGCACCGCTGTGGCGTACAGCCGCACACCACATTTCGAGCAGTTTGTTTTCACGCCTATTAGCGTCACCCATCATGAAGGGGTTAAAGAGTCTCTTTAGCCTCATTTCCCAAGAAATTGTATGCCACACCCAAAAGCAGGTGCAGGTAGGGTGTAGGGTGCAGGGTGCAGGTTAAACATATTTGACTTGGGCTGAGTTTTGATGAGCCACAGATCTGAAGGCAATACATCTTTTACCTGTAACTTACAGGTCACATGTACAAGTGTCATAACATATGTTTGGTCTGCGGGTTATGGCTATGCGCCTGGGCGAGTGGAGCGGGAAGTTCTGCTACTCATAGTGAACTTCTGCACCCAGTGTCTGGGTGTTGCCAGAAATCACCAGTGTTTATAAAACACAGGGATTTCTGATACTGTCAGTGTTGGGTTAAAAATCATATGGAAGAATAAGACACTTGAACCTAGTTCCTTCCATAGATACATGTAGGAAATATGTCAAAATGTTCACAGTCAGTTCCAGTATGTAAATTAGTTTTTGCATTTTATTTTCTATTTTCATGGTAAAAATGAATAAGAAAAAGGAGGCAGAAAGGCAAATCATAGTATAGAGGAGATATGTATACCCTTCCCTAACTAGCAGTGCATTCTGAGTGAGTCTCACAGAATCAAAGGTTTTATCAGAGATAACATACTACTGTCTCAGGAAAGTGGAGAAGGAAGATTGAAACACACTGTATATAATAAAGATTTTTTAAGTTTTGCAGTGGATGGCCTTTATGCACATTTTATCTTAGAGGAATTTATAATTTAAGATATTGTTGGTAATGTGACCCCACCCCCAACCCCCTTCTAATCATTAACATTTTTCTATCCTGTCTGATGCAGCCCCTGTATGTTGTAGCTTAGGTGAACTTAATTCACATTGGTCTCCTCTCTTTTTTTTGCCATTGAGTAAGTTAACAATGTTTAAGAAGTATGGCAGATACAGATAGTTATAGGAGAAAGGGTTGTTGACAAATTTGATGGTGAGGTCACGATTCCTCCTAGCTGTTTATAGAATAGATAGTTCAAGTAGAAAACAAGTATGTAGATTCCCAAATGTTAAAAATCTAGTTATTTATGGTTCATTTTTAGATTTCAGGAATTCACATGTTCATGGAGAAGGAAGATTGTAGATTGCTCAAAACTATAGACCCATTGTTTTTTTCAACATTCAAAAAAGTTAATCATGTATTAAATGCAAAATTGAATAACTTGCTTCTTAACCTCTTACAGCCAGGTATGCCTATAGCCACTCTGAAAAACTCATTCTAATGGTTATGTCAGTAGATGTCTCGATGCCCTAGAGCAAGTCGAGCAGGAAGTTCAACTACTCATAGCAGACTCCCCGGCCAAATGGCAGGACAGTTGCCAGAAGTCACCAGAATGAGTGACACCCAGAGATCTCTGGAACTGTCCTTGTAGGGTTAAGCAGCAGTCACAAAGGGAAATTGTTTTGCATTTTGCACAAATGCCTGCTATTTCTATGTGGATGGTCACATAGCATATTCTGGTGATAAAGCTGTAAAATAAACTTACTTCAGATCAAACTTTTGATATATGTGATGTACAAATTTAGATCATGGTAGATTTGCATATCTTGTAGGGAGTTACAACCACTCCATGGTCACAACTCTGTTGAGGAAAGATGACTAATGTAATGTTTGTTTTGACTGGAATGCAAAACTAGCACATAATTTAAGTTAATATTTTCACTCGGATGATGAGATTTGTAGGTTGTGTGCTCTTTGGAACAATATTGTCGATGTGCATTGAAATTTGTGCTGTGTGATCCATGTCTTTGAAGTACACATTATCAGGGAATTTTTTGGAAAAGATACTTATACAACCACACCTTCATTCAATTTCTTATGATTTAAATACCGTTTGATTAATGATAGTGTACAATTTAGTCCTAGAGTTTTATTGTAATTTTTTTTCTTTCTTTCCTATTAAAAATCTAGGGGCTTAGTTGCTTGAGATTTGGTTGCAGAGGTGGATCCAGAACTTTTCTGAAGGGGGGGGGGGCAGTTGATAAAGGGGGGGCGCTTATAAACCTTCGGTAATTGATCGATATTGTACCATCACTGTGTTGCTGTAGGAAATCAGTTTAGTTTACACCTAGGTCATGTTCACACTATTGTTTGTGGAAAGTTTCAGCCATGCTACTTTTTATACTCTGCCACTACCTGGACAGAGATAGATTGTCATTCTATGTGTTATAATGATTTGACAGTGAGAATGATAATTGCCAATTATATATTTCATTTTTGGATGATCCGAGAACGATGAAACCCATGAGGTTCCTCCATCAGTATATCATATGTCATTTCATAGAAAAGGGGTGCTGCACTTCCAACAGGGGGTTAAATCTCTTGTGCTGTTCTCCACCACTACCCATTGCAACTGGTAGATATTCTTACTGTGCTAAAACCTCAGAGTGCTCAAGATCATTGACTTAGGAAATAGAAACTATAAACCAAAAGCCAAACAAATTATATGGTTAAGATTATTTTCAAAATGCTTTTTCTGTGAACTGTGCTTGCTTGTGAGACATGCTTTGTCATTTTTTTGCTAAGATTGCAGTGATGAGGTAAATGAATATGATTCCCTGTTGACTGCACATGTGGAGCCATCTGTGTATAAACAGTTCGCACAAAAAAAGTTTACAGCATGTTCACCTGGTAGCAGTAGGTTAAAGTTCTATATATGTGCCATGTGAATTATAGGTTACAGTATTTTGGGAAAAAACTTTGATTTTTCAATGATACGGATTGGATATTCTCTAATTGTTATGTGAGCTATCAGACAGGTAGAACATGAATGTGATAAATAATAATGTTGTATTGTAAAGCTTGTTTTCAAGGTTTGAAGATTACGTCTAAGCATAGTCTTAAAAAGTTCGCCGAGGTGAAGGATTAGATTTATTGGACAAAGGAAGAGTGGTAGTTTGTTGTCTTTCATCACAGTTCAGCAGAGAATTTTTCAATATGTATATCTTTTGCTGCTCGGTATTTAGCGACACAATGCTTTTAGTTCTTGTTTTTACAAGTACATTCAGTACATTCAGACCACATATTCCATTGAAAAGTAGGAGGTTGGTTGGTTGTTTGGTTCATTGGTTGGTTGGTTGATTGGTTGGTTGGTTGGTTGTTAGGTAGGTAGGTAGGTAGGTTGATTGGTTTAGAGGTTTAATTTACACACACACACACACACACACACACACACACACACACACACACACACACAAATAGTTATATAAATGTAGGTGTTCAAATCTCGCCCTGTAAGGTAGTTGGAATATCCTCTCAGAACCTCAGTAATGGTTGGAGAAGATATTGCAGGATATTTCATTTAGGGTGATTTTCAATGTCAATCCTTTGTGCTGGGATTGTATGACATACATGCCATGTCCGCATTGATTTTTGTTTATTAACTGTGCATACGCATAGATTTCTCTACAAGTACTTAGTCCCCAAGGAGTCAGTTACTAATCCAACTATCTCACTTGTTTGTCCGTGAGATTCTTTTATAACTTTTATTGTTGTTAGTATTTTAATGACTAAGTGATGACCATAGTAATTCTTAGTATCCATGTCCATAGTAATGATAATAACAGTATTGAGATTGATATGTTTATGAAAACATATTTCCCAAATATTTACAAAATAGAAAAATCACATAAGGTCACATCAGACCTAACACTTGTGTAGTCTCTTGTGTCCATCAAATTTCACAGTGCACAGTACATGTACTTATGTATACAAGGGTTTAGTTATTAAAAAGAAACAAAAAAACTTAATTTGTAGGAGTTCTGGGTTCTGCACTATTGAGCTAACTAGATATAATATCCACCCGAGAGAGCCAATACTGTGAATTTACAAAGCATGGCAAATTTTCAAGGAGTCAGTAAAATGTAGAAAAAAGGAAAAGAAAAAAAAAGAAAAGAAAAAAAGAGGATATGCACATTTCTTGTATTACTATTTAATTCCTTTTTTTTTTTTTTAGTTATCCACTTTGGCTGACATTCCTCACAGCTGAAGATGATAGTTATGTTTTGTAATTGGGTGGAGGGGGGGGGAATATTTAGAAAAAAATTTAAACTATATTTTGCATAAGGGGGAAATGTTAACAAAATACAACTTATTGCTACCTACTTTTAACCCATTGCTGCTGGGGAAAAAAATTAAAATAGGGAAAATGCTGTGTTCATTTTTTAAATTTTTGTGATATGCGTCTGTACAAAAAATGGGTTAATGAAAACTTGATGGATTTTGTGTTTTATCCATCTACAAAAAATGTGCTTAAGCTCTTTTCTCAAATTTGTATTGAATGAGCCTCTAAGCTAGTACAGTGGTAACGTGTCGGTTTCTCATCCGAGGGGTCAGCGGTTCGCACCCCACCCAGGCATGAGAAGTTGCAATTGTCGCCTAGGGGTTACTGCTGTGGCTGGGCACCACGGCAGGTAAAGACAAAAGCCAAGTCAGCACCAGCTGACACACTGTTAGTGAGTCGACATTAGTTGACACAGGCCGGGCTCTCCTCATAGCCTGGGCGAGGCTCAGCTTTGCATATCGGACTTATCCTTATGTCTTGAATGACCATAAGAACAGGCACTGAAAAATAACACACACACACACACACACACACACACACACACACACACACACACACACACACACACACACACACACACACACACACACACAATACACACATACACACATATAGACACACATACACACACACACACACACACACACACACACACACACACACACACACACACACACACACACACACACACACACACACTCTCTTTCTTTCTTTCTTTCTACCTTAAATTAAAAGAATTGTTAAGTGGTTAGTAATACTAATTATAGAAACATCTGAAAAAGTCATTTTTTTGGTTCATTATTTTGTATAATAGTTATTGTAAAGATAAACCATTTTTTCCTTATTTTCTCAAAACAAAGAAATAAAATTAGTTCTGAGAGAAAGGACATTCTTTCTTCCTTTCTTTTTTTTTTCTTTTTTTTTTCTTTTACTTCTACTTCTACTTCTGCTTCTGTTTCTACTTCTACATTTATATCTTCAAATAAAAATTTGCCCCCCCCCCCCCTCCCTCAACACAAAAAATGATGGAATATGGGGAGACATGATATCAAAAGAAAATGATAACAGATTCACCATTGTGAAACAGATCCCACAGATGTGTGAAAGAAAGGATATGAGGAAGAAAGAGAGCAGTAATGAAAGTGATAATAAAAACACCAATATAAACCAACAGATCTCCACAACAGGAAAATATGAAGTAATATTACGATTCATTCATGGCGACATAGGGGGTGTCAAAAAAAAAAAAAAAGAGAGAGAGAGAGAATTGGAATGTTTTTGGGGGTACACATGCCATAGATTACAATAACTCTTACTTTCTACTCATGATGTACATTCATAAGTAGATTTAGAGGCTTGGTCGATGATAGGAGGCACTTGTATGGTTGGTTCAGGAAGTCAAGAAAGTGCTAAGGTCGTGGGGAATGGGATATGGGATATGTACATGCTATACGTTCTGAGAATTCTTATTTTATACTTCTTATGTTCTCTTAAAAGAAGAAAAGAGGTGGGAATAAAACCAGAAAAATTGTAAGTGGTAAAACAGCTGTTGCCTACATTGTGTATAGGATTTCATAAACACATTTTTCCATATATCATTGTCTTGTTACTTTGTTACATGACATTGGTTAAGATTTTAATGTGATTTTAGCCCCATTAATATCACCACATATTTGTGGTGTCATCTTAGTCAATCACAGGCTTCATTTAGCTACTAAATACAGTTACAAGATAAATTTTAATGAACATTCCCTATGTAATGTACTGTGAACTATGCAAGTTTTTGCTTATTCATTTTAATTTCCAGCTGGATCTTGGTCTTCATGAATGTGTGTACAAGTGGCTCCTTGCTGAAGAATGGTCTCTGGGTCTTGGTGATGTTGTTTCTTTAGATCCAACGTTGGGCCAGACCCTCACACGCCTTCATGCTACAGTTTTACAAAAGAAACGTATAGAAGCTCAGGCTGAACAGGAAGGAATCTCAGGGGCTGAGTTACAGGTGAGTATGATGTGAAGACCAGAATGATAATGACCTTATTACCTTTTGCCATATTATTTTCCTTCAGTAAGTAGAAACAGAGTGAATGAGAAAATAAATACAACTTTGTGTGAAGCATCAGTAGTTTTTAATAATACATCTTCAGAATCACTGGAACTAGTTTTTCAGTGTAAGAGGCTGTAGTATTTGACTTACCATTTCATCTGCTGAAGCATTTTGTTTGTTTCTTGCAGGCTCGTCTGGAAGCCCTGACTGTAGATGGATGTAGTGTGGAAGACCTTGCGCTGACCTTCACATTACCTGGCTATCCTAACATTGAGTTCCGAAAAGGTGGCTCAGACATTGCTGTCACTGTACATAACCTTGATCAGTACCTACAGGTGAGATTTTTTTTTTTAATGAACATTCCCTATGTAATGTACTGTGAACTATGCAAGTTTTTGCTTATTCATTTCATTTTAATTTCCAGCTGGATCTTGGTCTTCATGAATGTGTGTACAAGTGGCTCCTTGCTGAAGAATGGTCTCTGGGTCTTGGTGATGTTGTTTCTTTAGATCCAACGTTGGGCCAGACCCTCACAGCGCCTTCATGCTACAGTTTTACAAAAGAAACGTATAGAAGCTCAGGCTGAACAGGAAGGAATCTCAGGGGCTGAGTTACAGGTGAGTATGATGTGAAGACCAGAATGATAATGACCTTATTACCTTTTGCCATATTATTTTCCTTCAGTAAGTAGAAACAGAGTGAAAGAGAAAATAAATACAACTTTGTGTGAAGCATCAGTAGTTTTTAATAATCTTCAGAATCACTGAAACTAGTTTTTCAGTCTAAGAGGCTGTAGTATTTGACTTACCATTTCATCTGGTGAAGCATTTTGTTTGTTTCTTGCAGGCTCGTCTGGAAGCCCTGACTGTAGATGGATGTAGTGTGGAAGACCTTGCGCTGACCTTCACATTACCTGGCTATCCTAACATTGAGTTCCGAAAAGGTGGCTCAGACATTGCTGTCACTGTACATAACCTTGATCAGTACCTACAGGTAAGATTTTTTTTTTCAATTTTAAGGAACAAAATGGTTAAGTTCTAAGAGAAAGTCGAAATATTTTTTCTTATTTCAGATTATGTAACACAACAAACTCCTGATTAGAATTGGAAAGTTCAGAGAAACCTTTGTTTTTATCCAGTAGTTGAGTAAAAGCATTAAGTCTATATTATTGTTATTATTATTATTATTAACATAAATTAATGTACTAAGATCTAAAATGGCCTGAAACCAATTTGAAATAATTCCTTACTCAATCTTTTTTCTTCTTACTCTTTCTTTTTTCTTTTCTTTTCCTTTATTTTCTTTTCCATTCTTTTTCCTTTCCTCTCCTTTCTTCTGTATTCTCCTCTCCTCTTCACTCCTCCATTGCTTTAACCTCTTACTGCCGGGTCATCCCTATAGTTGTTACAACAAACCAACTCATCATGAAGGGTATGGCTATAGGTGTCAAGACACGCTAGAGCGAGTCAGGGGGGAAATTCCGCTACATGTAGCAGACTCCTAGGCCAAACGGCAGGACGGTTGCTAGAAGTCAATGGAATCAGTGACTCCAAGAGATTTCTGATACCATCATTGAGGGATTAATTTACTGGTTGAATCCATATAAAAAATTGGAGCCATTCTGTGCATGCCAGTGCATTTTTATTTACATACATTTCTGTTAAAGTTAAAACTTGCTTCCAGCTTGTTATTGAGTGGCTGGTCCGTGAAGGAGTCAGAAGGCAGATGGAGGCCCTTCGTGAAGGGTTTGAGTGTGTCTTTCCCTTGACTCAGCTCCGAGTCTTCTACCCTGAAGAGCTTGAGCAACTGTTCTGTGGCTCCTCGGATGCCTCGAAATGGGACATGAAGCAACTTGCTGAATGTTGCCGTCCAGATCATGGATATACGCACAACTCTAGGGCGGTTAAGTTCTTGCTGCAGATTATTGCAGACTACACACCAGCTCAGCAGAGATCCTTCTTACAGTTTGTTACAGGTTCACCAAGGCTGCCTGTTGGAGGTTAGTTATTTCTATTAGTCTGTGTAATCAAACGCCAAGAAATGTGAGATGTAAATAAGATATAAATGTTAATATTGTTATAACCAGGGTCTGCTGGAACTAAACCTGGGAATCTCTTTTTGATTATATATCATTGTAGAATTTAGATATAGTGATTTCATGTAAAACAGTTATTCTTAGTTGGGGAAGGGAGAAGAGTCCATAGGAAACAAGTAGGAATTTCTGTGATCATGTTCGAAATTCTTTTAGCTACTGGGTTTGCTTATGTAAGTGTTGTTTATACAGGTTTGCCATAGTTATAATAGTTCCCTCGATTAATTTTTACCAAATGTTATTTTTCTTTTCTTTTTCCTTTTTTACAGGTTTCAGAAGTCTATCTCCAGCACTTACCATTGTAAGGAAAACTTTTGAAGCAGGAGAAAACCCTGACGATTTCTTACCTTCGGTGATGACCTGCGTTAACTACCTGAAACTACCAGACTACTCCAGTATTGATATTATGAGTGCCAAATTGGAGATAGCGGCCAGAGAGGGCCAGCACAGCTTCCACCTCTCATAGGAAGTTTTTGGACCGGCAGATGATGCTCAACCCACCAATTTTTGGGCTTCACATTGTGATATTCTATGATTTTTATTTATTTTTTAAATTTTATTATTTTTAATTTTTTTATTTATTTTTTTTTTTTTTGTCAATTACTACCTTGTTTATTTGTTTTTTGTTTTGTATTTGTTTTTTGTTTTTATGTATTTGGTGCATTGTGTCCAACATCAATTCATCCTTAAGGTAGAGAGTGACAAGAAGAGTCAAAGCTGGTGTGAATATGCTTTTAAGCTCTTGGAACGAATGCCGAAAGGCAAGCATTTACAGTACTGAAAAAGGAAGCATGGGAGTGACAACTAATTCTCATTTGTGATTTATATAGCATTCCTGGGGATGTATTCTTTATTGTGCCTGGTGACAGTTTCTCAAGGTATCTCCATCTCATGGCCCAAGCCTCAACTCTACAGTTTTAATTTATTATGTGAATATGTAGACCAATAGTTAAACTAAATCAATGCTGGGTGTTCAGTGATAAAATCTCAGCTTGTCATAGATATATGTATATGAAAATTGAAAAGTTAATTGTTTGATCACAACTACCATTTATTATTCTGGACACTTTTAAAAGACATTAGAGAAGGAGTTTACTGTATTTGTGGAAAGTGAACTGTGATATCCCCATTTTTCAATTTTCCACAAGCAGCTTGGCTTCAGACAGCTGGTTTTGGTTTCAGCTACGTAGTGATTGTGATGTTGGGCACGCTGGAGAACTAGGATCCAAGCACATTTTTTATGGAAGATTTCAGGCCGTGGATTTTCATCAGTTTGTGTGTATTCAGATGAAGACATAATCTCACAGAGCATTAAGATGATAAATGATCTCGTCATTGTTTCCATTTGGAGAATGTCGTGTTTGTTTTCTTGTTTTTATGGCCCACGTTTTATTGGTATGTTGTTAAGGTGTGGGTCATTGGTAGGATTTAATTTAATTTTTTTGTACATATGATTTACTCATTTTAAATGAGACCAAAAGGCAATTTAGTTTGGTTAGTGGACAATGACAAAGTAACCATCTGAGGATTATTTGTGGGGGATCTCTCTCAGTAACATTGCTTATAAATGTCAATCCTAGTCATTTGAAAGATAGCATCACAGTGGACCCAAATGTATTGCAGTAAAAGCTTTTGTGAAACAGATTCAGCAAGGCCAAGATGCAATTTTTTCTGTAATTGTAGATTTAATACTTGAGAAAAATTATTTTCAATCCTTTACAAAATGCATTCATTTTCTGGGATATTATTTAATTACCATGCTCCTCTGAGAATTTTGTATAAAGCTTTGATTTTTTTTTCTCCTGTCAGAACTGCAGGTCAGTTAAAAATGGAAGAGTGGGCATTAGTTGATTTACAGAGACAAGAATTAGTGGGCGGAGTGTACCATGAGCTACAGTGAAATACTACATATAATATGCTGTCACTGCATTCAGTAACTTGTTTGAGGAGGAGAAGGACTTGCCCAAACTTTGGTAGGTTATTAGTAATGTTCCCGATTTATATTTTGGTGATACCAGATTTGATTGTGTTCTAATTTTTCAGATAAGCATTGACAGCAGATGTGAATGAAGTTTTTGAGAGCTCTTGATGCCTTATGGATGAAAGGAGCATGGTTACAAAAAAATAAAAAATATAAAAAAGAAAAAAAAAATGCATAGCAACCACAAACCTTTGTCAGCAGTGTTGCATTGGTGTCAGACACACCTATTTTAGTTATCACTCAAACCATCTGCAGTATTGAGTCCATCTTGATTTGCTGTTACTTTTGGGTATTCTTTTGTTACTTGAGACCTGCTGGATTGGCCGTAAAAAACAATTGCTCTCAAAGTTTGTTTATTTTTTATTGTTAAATGAATAACTTTTATTTATTAGTAGTATTTTTTTTATTTTATTTTTTTGGGCAGTCTGCATCACAGGTGTTGAACCATGAGCTTTTTTTTTTTTCTTCTTCTTCTTCTTTGTCTTCTTATTCTTCCTTCTTTATGTGTGGAGGAAAGACAGGTTGATTTGTATGTCTGAATTGAGCATAACTAAGTTCAGTAATTATGAATTCCGATGACTTCCTCAGCACAGGCTTTTGGGTCATTGGTTTTTGAGTGAACATTGGTATTACAGTGATGCCCATGCTTTTGCACCTGTCATTCTGAACTGGCCATACATTGATGCTCCCGGCATGTCCATTATATATATCTTTTGAGTACATGTCATGTTTATCAGTGCCTACCTTAAATTGATGTATATTGTAAGTATATAAAGAAATCACATAACTGTAATACACAGTACATAATAGTTTTTACAGAAAACAAATGTGATAATGTAATCAGTACCCAAGAACATGTCGCTATGAATGTGTAAGCGAAGTTTTTGTATTTGCCTTGTGAACCTCAGTTTATTATGGTAGTAACTTTTGTGATAGTAATTTTTTTAGTCACTTTCTTTTTGTGTGTCATTGAGTATTAAATTCAGCACATGTGGAAGTTTTTAAATCAACCTTGGCCTACTATTTTTGTTTTTCCTTTTTCAAGAATTATCAGGTTAAAAATGATTTATGATTTTTTGTTCTATTTTCCTCCCCAATGAAATGTGATGTATTACTTTTCAGTGATTTTAGCACATAATTTCATATCTTTATGAAATGCTTCAAACTGTGAAAGTGTGTATTGCAGTGAAATAAAGAAAATATTAGTGAAAAAATGAATAAGCATAGGCTAATTTTTTAATCTAAACTTTCCCAAGACTTTATGCATATGCACTTCAAGATGTTGCTGAGAACCATTTGAGCTTTGTATAACAGACAATACAGTGTTGGTAAAGATCAGCAGAGAATTTGTACTTCAAAGCAAATTGGAATGTTGAATTAATTCCTAGAAGAGATATCACATAAACAAGAAACTGACTTTCAGCTTATTTTGAATGGTCTTAAAATATTAATTCTTATTATATAGATCTGGAAATGGGAAACCTGATTGAACTAAAGTGTTTTTGAAATTTCTTTAGGGAAATATGTAATTCAAAAGTAAATTTGAACAATTCCTCACAGATTCTCACTGATTGATAGTTCTATATTTTTGTGGCTGCTTATCATTTCCGGTATGGAAATAAATTAGAGAGAGTAAGATGAAGCTGGAATTAAACTGGTAAAACAATGAACATGAAGGGAATAGACAAGTGTATCACTTAGAAGAACACTTAATGGATTCATGAAAAAGACTTACCAATAAAATAACAGAAACCAAACAATATATATGCATGCTAAGCTCAAAAACTTATTCCATGCTTAGGATGAAGGATACCCATTGTTGGTGCATGAATGTGTTTCTATATGTTTTGTTTACGGGCATGTGGATGTTCATTGAATGAAGTATGACTGAGTTAGACAAAAAAAAAAAAAAAAAAAAAAAAAAAAAATACTGTGCAAACTTATTCTGAGTCTACCACTTAAGTTTAACAAGAAAGTATCTTTAAGATCCTAGATCAGATCAGGATAACTGTAGTGATGAAGTGTGCCTGAATGCAAACTGTACAAAAAAAAATATATAACATCCAGTCGACATCCTTTTGCTGTTTGCATGTTCTTAGATGTGAAAACTATATCTCAAATTCACATTGGCAACATTTTCATCATTTGAAGTGAAATATTTGTTTAATGTACTCATACTGCCCAGACATAGCAGTTGTATGATATGAAAGGTTTAACACCTCAAAATGTGCATTATACACCAGCAAAAAATATTGAAGACTTGATTTTTCAACTTGATTTTTTTATTGATGAAAAGGTTACAATAATCTGAAGAGGATTTCCTTTTCATTCATGGGAAAAGGAGTCCCATTCTAGTTTGTATAGTTTTTTTTTTCTTAATATGATCATTATTGCAAAGAAAAAATATGAGAAATAGGGGGAGAGGGAGAAGGTTAAAATACAGTGGTGTAATTTTGAATTTAAGAAACTAATTTCTGAATTGGCCCACCTTGAACAGTGGGTACTAAATGAATGTGTAAGTAGTTTAGATGTTAGAGGATGTAAAAGTAGGCTGCAGAGTATCCCTGAATTGGCACCTGAACTGACTACTAGAAATAACTTCGTGGATTATATAGGGACTGTAAATAATTTGAAATGATGATAATACAGATACATACAGATGATGATAATACAGATAAAAACAGATGTGGACACATTCATTACCACGGACACATGCCAAATTGCACTGAGAGATGTACTCATGTACAACTCCAGACTGTTTTTGGCTGGAATTCAAAATGAGGCGAATATCCATGTATTTCAACTAAATCACATTCTGTACACACATCTTTCATAGATCCATACTTAATAGCAGAATATATTTGGTACAGAAACAGAAACACTGCTGAATAGGTTCTTGATTCATCATACAAAGAGCACATAGTTGGAATAATCAAGTGCAAAAAAAAAAAGATGCTACACATGCATCATGAAAAACATTAAGTATTTATTAATGGAGTAGCTCAATTTAATGTTTATATCAGATGTACATCGGCCTCCGTATACTTATATGATTACAACCAAGAAACTCGAAAATCTCTGAACAATTTCATTCAGGGATAAGCCTTATGTAAACTGAAAACTTCGGAAGCATTGTTTATCATATTCGATCAAATAATACTCAACTAAGGATATATTTTAAATTAATATGAATGAAATTCTTCAATCAATCTTGCTCGTTCTAATTTTGCATGAACTTTTCTTCTCCCCCTTTCCTTTTCCTTCTCTTCTTCATCCCCTTCTGTCCAGTTTTTACACTTTGCGCCACAATTCTTTTTAATAGTGTTATATGACCTCTGATGTCTAGCACATTTATTGGTTTTAACTAATCAATTAGGACTGCATAGTGGGACTAGATTGAACTCTTTGCATGCTAAATGACAAAAAATACTATGCAGAATCTAGGTTCATTGTATCACTTTTGTATCACACTTAATAATACAGAAAAAATAGA